AGGCCCGTGAGGGCCCGGCGCGGCGGCCGCAGGGGAGCGGGCGGTTCGGGGAGGCCGGGGTCGGCCCTTCGGGGGGGCCCTTTCGCCGGGGCCTCGGGAGCGGCAGGAAACGTTAATCTGATTCTTATTAGCACTCCAATTCCAATCCCCAGACATGATGGCGTCGAAAAAAATCAGGACGGGAGGTTTTGGCTATTTTCGGCCCCTGGGGGCCCTCGCCGGGCCTCGGGACCGTCAAAAAACGACTCAGGACGGAAAACCGGCCCCAGGGAAAGGGTCTAGATTTCCAGGGGCGCCGTCCTGAAAAAATCAGGACGTCGCATCTCTAGGTCGGGATATACCACCAGAGCCGGGGCCTCGGGAGCAGCAGGAAACGTCACTCTTACTCTTCTTATTATTCGCATTCCAATGCCAATCGGGCTCTACCACCAGAGCGGGGGCCTCGGGAGCAGCAGGAAACGTCACTCTTACTCTTCTTCTTCTTCTTATTATTATTATTATTATTCCAATTCCAATCGGGATATGCCACCAGAGCCGGGGCGCGGGGATGATTCATGTTCGTTCCGTTTGCGCGGCGCTAGTCCTATCGTTCGGCGGAAACCGCCCCCTACAGTCATTTGATTGCGGCACGGTACTAATGATAATCCCGGGGGCTCCTTAATGGCTTCCTGAGGCTAAGTCAGGCATGTCCCTCTACAGGAGGAATGTCGAGGAATGTCAAAGATCAGGGAAGCAAGATGCTGGGGGCGATGCGTCGTCCTCTTTTGGCTATGTGTGATTATTTTTTGATGATTTGGTGTTCTTCCAAAATTTGCCTCTGTAGGAGCACATGCCCGACCGAACTCTCGGAAAGTGGTCCAGACCTCCAGGCCCCACGCATCGACAACATGATAACGGAGAAAACAACTGTCAATATTTTTAGGCTTATGGGCTATGGGGCTATAGGGCTACAGGTCTATAGGGCTATATGGCTATAGGGCTATAGGGCTATGGGGCTATGGGGCTTTAGGGCTATAGGGCTATGGGGCTATAGGGCTACTGGGCATCCGGGCACCCGCGCACCCAGGCACCCGGGCACCCAGGCATCATGGGAACCCCGGGGCACCCGGGCACCCGGGCACCGAGGCACCCGGACCGGCCACCTAAATCGGCGGCGACGCTCGACAAAAATTGGAGAAGCCGGATGTCTGGGGAGAAGACGGTTGCCTTCAACCTTGTCCCCTCCAATTTCCACCGTCTCGCTTCACCCACTTCTTGCGGAATGCGCCCCTTCTTGCTTCATCCCGCCACTCCCACTCCTGCATCTCTCCGCGAAGCCCTTCACCTCGGAAGTTAGCTCAGGCCGAGCACCATGCTAGGCAGTCAGCAGGTCGTCACACACAGAGACCACACGCAACGTCGAGCCTTCTCTCATTATGATTATTATTATTCGTGTTACTAATACTATTGCTCAACTTGGTACTATGGTTTTCCGTACGGGCATCATGATCATTCCTATCGGTAGTGTTGTTAGTTTGTTTTTGTTGTTTATTCGCAGTGATAGTCTGCTTGCTAGTACTACGATTTTTCTCCTCATTCTTCCTTTTTCTCCCTCGGCCCTCCCCCCTCCCTCCTCCTTCGCGCGTTCTCCGAAGCGGAGGGTGGACGGCGACGGAGGAGGGAGGGACATCCTCCGGTCCTCCCCCCCCAGCAGGCCACGGCGGACGAGGAGGAGGAGGGAGGAGGGCATTCGCATTCGATCGGGCACTCGTTCGGCCACGCGCAGAGGTGGGCATGGGGGAGGGAGAAAAAGGGAAGTCTTAACCGTAAGCGCTGGGTTCTTGACAGTAAGCACGGTGCCAGGCTAAAGCACTTGGCTAAAGCACCAGGCTAAATCACCAGGCTAAGGTACCAGGCCAAGGCACCAGATTAAGGCACCAGGTCAAGGCACCAGGTTAAGGCACCAGGTTGAGGCACCAGGTTGAGGCACCAGGCTAATCGCACCAGGCTAAGGCACCACGCTAAAGCAGCAGTCTAAGGCATCAGGCTGAGGCACCAGGCTCGTGCTTCAGCCTGGTGCTTCAGACTGGTGCCGCGTTGACGGTTAAGAACTACTTTCGGGGAAGGCTTCTTAGAAGGAGCTTGCTTCTTAGAAGGCGCGGGCCGTATCCATAGATGCGACGCCAGCGCCTTCTAAGAAGCAGCCTCCTAAGACGCCTTTCCCCCTCCCCCTGCCCCACCCTGCGCGCCGCCAGCCCGTGGCGGAGAGCAGTCGGCCCTTCCGGGTGCAGTGAGGGCCCGGCCTCAGTGGCCATCTGGGGCGAGTGGCAGGCAGCCGCGCAGTGGTGCGGCGGACCTCGCGTGCACCCCAGGGCGGGCGGTGAGGCCGTGGCGCGGCCGCGGGGCAATTCGCCTTCCGGTTGCCCCGAACAGCCACGCGCCGGAGCGGACTGCCTCTGCCTCGCCGCCGACGGGAAAGGGTGGCGGGTACGGCCATGGCGCTGGCATCAGGACAGTTCGGGCTCGGGGTGGGCTCTGGCTTCTGGGCCGTCCCCCCAAAAGGCCGAGGCCGGGGAGTCCGTTCGCGGCCGAGGCGCCGTGGCCAGCTTGCCATTGGACTCCTTGGCACTTGGCATCGCTCGGACGTGTGCACCTTCGGCGAGGACCGTCGAGGAGCATCCTTGATCATGTGGCGAAAAAACGAAGCACGAAACCGGAAAAAACACAGGGAATGGACGTCTGAGCGATGGCGAGGGCAGGGGTGGGCATGTCGGTGTGTCGTCCCACTTCTGGCGCTCCGTGCGATGTGAGGGTGAATCGTTTGTGCTTCCGTCGGAGGTGTTTCCCACCATCAGTTTCCAAGACTCCTGCAGGTCCCTCGCTGCTGGTGTGTGTTTCGTTGGAGGTGAAGGCGGCGAGGTCAGAAAACAAGGTCGTTTGGGTTGCGCGATGACACGATCACCGTGGGCGTATGACGAAGGGATGCCCGGGGGGCCCGAGGCGCAACAGTGTTTTGGGCGATCATCAATGAAGCGGGTCGTGAGCCCAGTCGTGGGCGTCGCCGTCGTCATTGAAGTTGTCTTAGATCGTCCCCCCTGCTTACTTATGTTGCCCGTGGCTGGACCTGCCGGCGGCTGGATCACCTCAGGCAGACAACGATTTCAAGGCGGTTCGTTTTCGCGTCGGTGGTCCGATTTGGTGAACAAGTCTTGACAAAGTGTTTTGTTTTTAATTCTATGTAAAAAGGCCATCATCTTGTAACAGACACGCACCGTACATGTGATGTGGTGGACGTGTTCCCTTTCTGCCACAGGGCACTCCTTCGCCTCCAGGTGCCCTAAGAAGAGGCCACGCCCGGGAGATCATCATGGCTTGGTCTTCAGAGGGAAGAGGAGGAGGGGGAGCAGGAGAAAGTGGGAGGAGAAAGAGCAGGAAGATGAGGAGGAAAACGACCAGTGTAAACCCGAGTGTCATCAACGATGTTGGAATACAATCCCCCTCCAAGCTCCCTCTTCGAAGGCTCCTACACGGGTTCATCTCCATTGAGGGAACTTCCTCGTCGGAAGACAACCGTTTGAAGATTCTGAAGCATGCCAAAACAGCGTTCTCGGGATTCCAACTCCGCGGATCAACCTGACTGTTGCGTCTTGACGAGCCCGAATCGTGCCAGAATGCTTTCCTGGGACTTCAACACCGCGAATCAACGTAACTGCTGCACCCTCACAATCCATAATACTTCCGATGCACTCTTTCTGGTACGTTGATCATGGGAATCTGGGAAACTCTTGTAAAACGTATAAACGCATGTGCGCGGCGATGAGGCGAGAACCACAGTTTGAAAAGGCACCGCCTTCAATCCGTGCAGCTCCTGCAAATGTGTAAAGCGCGAAAGCACGCGGCGCTGAGGCGAGATCCACGTCTCGAAAAGGCACCGCCTTCCATCCGTGACCCTCTTGCAGCGGTTTGGAGACGAAAGCGCGCGGCGCTGACGCGAGCGCCGCACGTTGAAAACCCGTCGCCCTTCACCCGCGACGCGCTCCTGCAATGGTTCGAAGCGACGGCGCGCGGCGCGAAAGGCGAGAGCCACACAGCGTGAAAGCCGCCCGCCCTCCGTCCGTGGAACTGGGTGCCAACACTGTAAGCTTCGGGGCCCCAGGTGGCGAGGAGGTCTCGGGCGAAGCGCCCGGTCCGCGTTCTGCAAACTGGCCTCGGGGGTGCGACGGGGAGAAGTACTTCTACAGGGAAGAGGAAGGGAAACAACAACACGAGAGGAAGAGGATGGGGATGGGTGAAGAGGAGGAGGAGCAGGAGGACGTGAAGAGGATGAGGAGGAGTGAAGAGGATCAGGAGGAGTGAAGAGGAGGAGGAGTGAAGAGGAGGAGGAGGGGGAGCAGGAGGACGTGAGAGGAGACGGAGGAGGAAGAGGCGGAAGCTGGAAGAGCTGACGAGGCTGAAGAAGGACGAGGACGAGGACGGAAGATGGAAGACGGCATACGGAGGAATGGATGGCGGAGGGCAGGGGATGAGGAGGGAAGGGGAGGAGGAGCACGATGAGACACGCTCCCCCTGCCCTCACCCATCGAGGACCTCCCCCCCCATCGAGGAAGCGCAACAAAAAAGCGATGCAGGCGCGTGGGGCAGCGACGGGGTCGGGTTCCGTGCGTACAGAAGCGGCGCGGTCCGTCGCCAACTCGGGGGGCACTGGCCTCGTGTGTCGGGGGCGCGCTCCCCAATCTGCACAGCTTGGCGCCCACTCGCCAGGTCCACGGAGCCCTGATCCATTCCAGCGTGTGCCCGGCACCCTGTTGGAGGATCTGCCCCTGCCCTCGGCGGCGAGCGAGGGGGGGGGGGGAAGTGAGCCGGAGAAGGCCTTCTCAGAAGGCGGCGGGTTTTCTCAGAAGCCAGAGAAAACGTCGCAGAAGGCCGCGGGACTTCCGAGCCTTCTGAGAAGGCCCGCCCCTTCCTACTGCCCGCCCCTCGCTCGCCGCCTAGTCCTGGCCCCAGCCCGCCCCACCCTCGAGGCCACCGCGGGCTTCCGCGTCTGCAACGCCGTGTCGGAGGAGAGCGCTCCGCGGCCGCTGCGATCGCGGCAGCCGCCGATCGCCGCTGCTCGACTCCCTTTTTCCCCGACGCTCGCGATCGTTGTTTTATGCATTGTGTTGCCGATCGGCGCGGGCCCCAAAAATCCCAAACCCCTTCCCCCCCCATGGAGTAGATCTGCGTGGGCTGTTTTTGGGGCGCCTGCTTCGAGCGGGTGGAGTCTCCCCCCGGAGGACGCACTGCTGCAGACGGTCGCATCAAGCAGAGGTCCGAGGCCAGACCCCCCCCTCTTCCCCCCTCCTCCTCCTCCTCCTCCTCCCCCTCCTCCTCCTCCCCCCTTCCTCCTCCTCCTCCTCCTCCTCCCCCTTCCCCCTCCTCCTCCTCCCCCTTCCTCCCCTCCTCCTCCTCCATCCTCCTCCCTCCTCCTCCTCCTCCCCCCCCTTCCGCCCCATTTCGAAACGCCGAATAAGAAAACGTTCAGCTCCTGCGTTGGGTTCCCGTTTTAAGAGAGCAGTGCGGTCGCGACCTCCTCCTTCTCATCCCGCTTCCCTCCTCCTCTCTTCGCCTGCTCCTGCCCCAGAAGTCGTCGTCCAGGCCCGCCGATCCGCGGCCGCTGCCGATCGCGGCAGCCGCCAATCTCGCCGCTGCTCGGCTCCCCTTGTTGTTCCCCAGCACTCCTGCGCTGGGCCCCCGTTTTAAGAGAGCAGCGGTCGCGATGTCCTCCTTCTGATCCCGCCTCCCTCCTCCTCTATTCTCCTGTGTGCTTGCTGTCCTGCCTCGCAGGTCGTCGTCCAGGCTCGCCGTCCTGCCTCCAGGCTCCCTCGGAGGCTGCGCTCTGCGAAGCTGCCGCCACTGCTGAAGGCTGCCGAGGTGTCCAGCGGAGTGGTGTCCTACGCAGAAAGTCGGGCCTGTCCCTTTACACGGGGAACATTCGAACACAGCACAAAAATACACCCGGGACGATTGTTTGACGAGTTTTGATTATTTTGGGGCATTGTCGGGGTATTTTTAATGTTTCGTCCAAAATCCGCTTGTAGGAGGTCACGCCCGACCTAAGACTGTACCTAGCCATCCCAATGCGATCTGCGAATTTGTCGCCACGTTTGAGGGCTGCTGGGGGGTCCAGAGGAGTACGCCCTACGCAGATTCAGATTATACCTCGCCATCCTTGGGGGGGGTGCAATTATCGCCACTTTTGAAGGCTGCTGGGGGGTCCAGCGGAGTAACGCCCTACGCAGATTCAGCTCGGACCTCGCCATCCAGCGGGGGCTGCGATCTGCGAATCTTTCACCACGTTTGAGGGTTTGCTGGGGGGGCTAGGTCCCGTCATTTTCTCACGACCTTGTCAGGCAATCTCGAGCCCCCATTCTCGAGGTCTCCGTTGTTTGATTGATTGCTTCGCCGATCGGCGCGGGCCCACGCCCCCTCCACCCCCCTCCACCCCCCCCCTCCATAGGTAAAACGACAGACAGACGAGGAGAGGGGGGGAGGAGAAACAGAGGAGGCCAGGACCCCCTTCCTCCTCTTCCTCCTCCTCCTTCTCCTCCTCCATTCCTGTTCCTTATGAATAATTTCTCCCTGTCGCACCCCGAGGCCAGTTTTTAGGGCGGGACGGGCGTTTCGCCTGAGACTTCCCCACCACTTAGGACCCTGGAGCTTAAAAAGTGACAACAGTTTCGCAGATGGAGCGCGGGTCGTTTTAAGAATGTGGTTCTCGCTTTAGCGCCGCGCACATTCCGTCCCAACAGTTGCAAGTGTTTCACGGATTGAGGGCGGATCGTTTCCAAAATGTGGCTCTCGCTGTAGCGCCGCGCACATTCGTTTAAAATAACACCAAGAGTTTCACGGATTGAGGGCGGGTCATTCTAAACATGTGTTTCTAGTCTTAGGGCCGCGCACATTCCGTTTGAGATTGTGCAGCAGTTTCACGGTTTGATTGCGAATGGTTTTCAAAATGTCGTTCTCGCCATAGCGCCGCGCACATCCCGTTAGAGAATTGCAAGGGTTTCACAGATGGAGGGCGGGCCGTTTTCAACATGTGGTTCTCGCCTTAGCGCCACACACACACATTCCGCTTGAACAGTTGCAAGAGTTTGACGGATTGAGGGCGGGTCGTTTCCAACATGTGGTTCTCGCCTGAGCGCCGCGCACAAGTATTGTTAAGTTTTGTAAGAATTTCACTGATTGAGGGCGGCTCTTGTTCAAGATGTGGCTCTCGCTTTAGCGCCGCGCACATTCGTTTTGTGTTGTCATTTGGTGTGTTGAGTGTGTTCTTGAGGATTCCGGATTATAAGATTGCTACAGTTACGTTGGTTCGCGTCGTTGAGGTCCCAGGAATGGCTTTTTGGCACGATTCAGGATCGCAGGACGAAACAGTCAGGTTTATCCGTGGCGTTGGAATCCCGAGAACAATGTTTTGGTCTGCTTGAGGGTCTCCAACGGTTGTCTTCCAACGGGACAGTTCCTTCAGTGGAAACGAACCGTTCTATGGAGCATATGAAGACGGAGCTTGGAGGGAGGGCCCATTCCAACATCGTTGATGACCCCTGGCTTTACACTGGTCCTCCTCCTCCTCCTCCTCCTCCTCCTCCCCATCTTGCTCCTTCTCTCCTGCTCCCCCATGTTGCTCCTCCTTCCCCTCCCTGCCCTCCTCCTCCTCCTCCTCATCCTCCTTTTCCTCCTCCTCCTCCTCCTCCTCCTCCTCCTCCTCCTCCTCCCCCTCCTCCTCCTCCCCCTCCTCCTCCCTTGGGTTTACACTGGTCCTCCTTCTCCTCCTCCTCCTCCTCCCCTCCTCCTCCTCCTCCTCCTCCTCCTCCTCCTCCACCTCCCCTCCTCCATAGACCAGATCTTGGCTGCTCTTGGCGGCTGCTCTTGGCGACTGGTCGGGGCCCCTGTCCCCCGGCCCGCCTGCGCGACTGGCAGAAGCACATCGGCCGCGCACAGGCACAGACCACGTAACCCCCTCCCTCCCAGCCGGCCGCTCGCTCCGCGGCTGATCGGGGCTTTTCTGTATAGTCGGCCCTGATTAGTAGGTCGACCCTGCCAAATCAAGGGTGCCCTTGGGTGCCCTTGTGTCCTGTGCCTCGCGACCCATGCCTCCTGCATCCCCCCTGGCAATGTGGCCCTCGGAAGGGTCTCGTATCCTCTCGCGTGTCGTGTCCAATAAAGGCCGGTTGTACACAGAAGAGAAGGCGTACGCTTGCAGGGGAGAGGAGAACCCAGAGATCCGAGGACACGCTTTTTTTCATCTGGCGCTTTGTCCGTGATTTTTCCGGATCAGGTGCCCCCTTCTCTCCCACCCTTCGGCCAGGTGAGCGACGCAAACAAAAGGGGTCGTCTGCGCCGACATTGGCGCGCAAGCTCCCCGCGTAAGCTCGCGCGTGAGCGCCCTCGTTTCCCATGCGCCGTGCCGCGCCGGCGGCCCGCGTAAGCCGCGGTGTAAGGTCGCTACGTCATCTCGCGCCAGGCCCGTTTTGGATCGTCGCCCAAGTGTCGAAGCCCAGCACACCAACAAAAAACGCTTACTCGTAATAAAGGGAGGGGGGTCTCATTTCGGGGGGGGGGGTCTCTTCCAGGCTATCTTGGAGGGCCTGGGGGGGTCTGGGGACGATGTTTTGCAGGGTTCTCCCACGGGGGGGGGTCTGAAATGGCTTGTCTTGGAGGGTCCAGACCCCCTTACGAGGCTGGCGTCCCCCCGGCCTCTGCCGCCTGGCGCCTCCGGCTCCCGTGCGCGGAGTGCCTCCCCAGGGGCAGGGGCGCAGGATGCGGGGGCTCCCGCGGTGGGGGGGGGAGGCAGAGGGTGGGCACGGCGGGGAGGCAGTCGTCGCTGCCGAGAGGGAGCACTCTGGAAGGTCACGTCCTGGCCTCTGCTCCGAAGCGCCTTTCCCTCCTCCCTCCCCAGACCTCCTCGCGCCGTGGCCAAAAAATCAGAACGGGAGGTCTTTCGGTACTTCTGGCTTCCAGGGGCCCTCGCCGGGCCTCGGGACTGGCAGAAGATGATTCAGGATGGAAAACTGGTCCCCAAGAAGGGGTCAAGGCTGCTGGGGGGGTCACGTCACGTCCTCCTCCTCCTCGTCCTCCTCCTCCCTCCCGGGGTGATCAATCCAAGGCCAGGTAACCCCTGGAGCACATCTCCAAGGGTCACCAGCGGTGTGTGTGTGTGTGAGTGTGTGTGTAAGAAGTGCGAAAGGTAAACCGACAGACAGACGAGGAGAGGGAGTGAGGAGAAATAGAGGAGGCCGGGACCCTCTTACTCCTCCTCATCCTCCTCCTCCTCCTCTTCCTCCTCCTCCTCTTCCTCCTCCTCTTCCTCCTCATCCTCCTCCTCCTCCCTCTCCTCCTCCTCTTCCTCCTTCTCCTCTTCCTCCTTGTCCTTCTCCTCTTCGCTTCCTCCTCCTTCTCGTTCCCCTTACTTGTCCCTTACCCCGAGACTCGAAGGGCCTTCCTTTTCCATTAGTTGTTCAGGGGCGGGCCAGCACCCACACTCTAAACGCCTTCCGACCTCACGCGTCTGCATGCTTCCGATTGGCGTGCAGGGGGAGAGCAGCAGGGGAAGAGAAGTGGATAATGGGTGGGGCGCGATGGTCGCGGATAGTGGCATGGTGCAGAAAGCGTGGGATAGGGAGGGGGGGGGGGTAGAAGAAGGGGGCGGGGCAGGAGTTGCGCAGAAGTATAGAATACCATGGGTGTTCCCCTCCCTTCTCCCCTCCCCTCCCAAGTTCCCTGCCCTCCTACCCTCCCTTTCCTCCTGTAAATCTTCCTCTTCATGTTCTTCCTCCTTCGTCTCCTCGCCGTGGGAGAGCACCGGGATTGCGGGTGGAAAGCGGGCGGGATGATGCATCAGGGGCCCAGGGGAAGATTTGTTCCGGTGACCCTTTCTCGCCAGTAGATCTGGCCTCTCAGCACGGACGCGCCAGTTTATCCAGACATGTGTGTGTGTGTGTGTGTTTGTGTGTGTGTTTTCGTAGGGCATCGGCAACATTCCATGGAAGCTAGGTTTCGGATTCTGCCATTGCTTCCACGGCGTTGTCTTGAACCCTTCCTTCGTCTCGTCCTCCACGTCCCCCTCCGTCCTCGTCATCCCTCGTCTCTCGTCCCCCCTCCTCCCCTCTGCTCCTCCCTCCATCCCCTGCCCCCTCCTCCTCCTCCTCACTCGCCTGCTGGAGCCCTCGTGTAGTCACAGGAGGAGCGAGCATTGTCGGCAGTGGGCGCCAGACCGGTTCAGGATTGCTGGCTCGAGCCCGGCTGCAACTACGTGTTGTTGCCTCTCAGCCTGCAGTCAGGACCCAGCGGCACAGCGACGATGACGACGCTGATGATACAGCTGGAACGAGGGTTCACATCTGGGCCTCCCAGATGGAGTCCGAGGAGATGGGGTCGGAGGATCGCTCCGCATCGCCGATGCATCGGCGATGCGGCGCGATGTGGAGCCCAATTATCTCCACGACGGCGTCACCGATGCACCGCCGACGTCGCAGGTGCATCGTCGATGCATTGGCGATGCGGTGCGATCCTTCGACCCCATCTACTCGGCACCCATCTGGGAGGACTCTGGATGATGACAACGACGTCGATGATGCAGCTGGCACAAGGGGGAAGAACCACGCTAGAATTGGAGGGGTACCCTTGCGTTCTTCGCGTTTCGGCCTTGCACCTTGGAGTGGTACAGTGGAAACCCATGCCAAGAAACACCCTGATTGCCTCCCGGGTCTATGGAAAGCGTGAGTTTACCACACCCAAAATCAATCGACGTCCTGCATTCTCAGGGTTGGGTGTCTTGTGGAGGGTTTCTTGTGGACTGGCCTCCACTGTCCTCGGCGAAGGTGCTCATGTTCTCGACCCACGGTCGTTTTGGCGACGTGCGCGCGCAAGGGGGGGGGTTCAGGGATGTCGGCGGTTCGGTCCGTTTGGCGGCATCGCAATCGCTTGCGTTGGGTCCGTTCGGCTCGGCATCGCTCGGACGTGTGCAGTTGTTCACGGCGAGGACTATCGAGGAGCATCCTTCGAAGAAGAAAATTCTGCATAAACATGGGCGCTCCGCGCGGATCTCTTGGGTCCGCGCTGGGGCCCCCCCGGGCGGCGTCTCTGGCGCCGCCCCTGTCGCGCTCCGCGCGCCAGGGAGGGTGGTCCAGCGCAGATCCAAGAAATCCGCGCGGAGTCCCAAAAGTTTCTGTTTACAGCGTTGCTCATTCTCCGAATCCTGGATCCCCCCGCAACAAAAAGAAGCGCGCGCGGAACCGAAACAAGCACGGGGGAGGGGGGCGTCCGAGCAGAGGCGAGGCCCGCGTCGGCCCTTGCCCCAGTCGGCGCTGCTCCGCGAGCGCGTCGGGCCTGGGCCGGGGCGGAGGGGTTCCACCACCCGCCGCCCGAGGAGGAGGAGCGGGGCCAGGAAGCCAACCAGTGGCGAGGCGTCCTGGCCTGCCTATAGGCTGAAGTCGGGCATGCCCCTCTACAGGAGGAACATTCAAAGGTAGTCAAAAAACAGTCGGGGGACGATTTTTTGACCGGTTCTGCATTTTCCACTATTTGTTTTCACTATTTTTCATGTTTCGTCCAAAACCTGCCTGTAGGGAGACACGCCCGACCTAACTGTAGGCCCACGAGAGGGTATTCTGAGAGCCTCGTGCGGGCTGCTGGCTGAGGCCGTCTTGCTTTAGTCAGCGCATCGGCCCCATGTTCTAGGAACGCGGCTCGTCGTGATTCAAGACTGTGTTGGGGGTTCTAGGGACATGTCGTGGGAGGCCTCTAGAGGACTGCCGGGACGGTCGGCCCCTGCTCTCAAATGAACGTCGTCTTCCTCCGCGGCCGCCCGCCTCCGCCCCCCCCCCCCCGCCGGCGTTTGTGCACAATCCTCGCCCAGGCACGCCCCCGCCGCTCCGGCTGCGGGCGCGGGGTGCCCGCTCGCCACCGCGCCGCGACTCCACCGGGGGAGTCGGTGGGGCTGCGGGGTGGCCGCACGGTTTTGGGGACCGGGGTCGTTCTTCACCGCCCACCAAACCACCCCCAACCCAACCGGAAGGCCACGATCTGCCCTCCATTTCCAGTTGGGGGGGGGTCGGGGAACATGGAGAAAACACATGTGAAGGCCGTATCCCCCCCCCCCCCGACCCGAAAGTCGGGTCTTCGGGTTGGGTTGGGGTGGTTTGGTAGGTAGTCAGTTCTCCGAGGATAGGCCTCCTAGATGGGGTTGGGGTAAATGGGGTCGGAGGATCTCGCCATATCGCCGATGCATCGCCGATGCGGCTCGGTGCGGAGCCCGATTTGCTCCACGCCGACGGCGCCGATGCCTCGCCGAGGTCGCCGATGCATCGCTGGTGCATCGTCGATGCATCGCCGATGCATCACCGATTCATCGCCGATGTATCGGCGATGTATCGGCGATGCGGCGCGATCCTCCGACCCCATCTACTCCGACCCCATCTAGGAGGCCTCTAGTGCCTCCTTCCCTGCCCCTCCTCCCCCTTCAGCCTTCCAGCCCCCGCGTCGTCGTCATCGTCGTGGACGTCGTCGTCGTGGTCATCGTCGTGGTCGTCGTCGTCGTCGTCGTCGCCGCCGCCCCTGTCCACCCCCCCTCCTATCCAGCCTCGTCTCCCCGTACTACCCTCGTCGCCCTCGCTCTCGTCCCCCTCTCCCATTCACCCTTCCAGTCCCCGCTTCTTCCCCCCCTCTGCCCCGGGACGGGGTGACTCGGCGCGGGGGCGGCGCCCTGGGGCCATGTGGGGAGCTGAGGTCCGCCACGCCGTAGCATCTTTGTGGGGGGCTGCGCTGCGGCAGGAAGGGCCGTGCCCCGTGGCCCTTGTCCCCAGAGGAGGAAAAGATACCCATACTGTTACCCTTTGCCCGTTTTCCCCTTTCTTGGGCCTCCTGGGAGGCTCTCGCCGCCACCGCTGGATTCGCCTCGAAATCCTGGTCGGAACGCACCCCGGGAGAGGTCCGGGGAGTAGCGGTACGGGTACCTTTTGGTCTCCCCATGTGCGCGTTCCCCGGGTCTGTCCCTAGGGGGTGGCTCACCCTACCTCCGCCCCTGCCCACCCCCTCCTCCCTGGCCCCGTCCTCCTCTGTACCCTCGTCGCCCTCGCTCTCGTCCCCCCCCCTGCGCGTCGACGAACACGAGGGGACAGAGACATGAAGAGCCGTCGGAGGTCCGCGCGGATTTCGGCGATCGGCTCGGACCTGCGGCAGCTTGTGCGTGTGTCGATTGCTGTTCCTATACGCCTCCCCTCCCCCCATCCTCGTCCCCGTCTCCCCCCATCCCTGGGAGGAGCTGGCAAGCGAAATGGTGTAGCATACAAATTGCTACCCCCCAGGTTCCCAGAGAGTACGATCGAGTGGGGATGGCCTGATGGGGTGGGAGCGAGCGATCCGGGCATTGCAGAACGCCCACCTGGACAGATCGACTGAGGAGTTATACACTGGTTCATTCGACATTGGCACTCGAGTGTGCCAGTGCAGTCCCCAGTCGGTTTCGCCAGTCGACGGGTGCTCCTCGAGACGCATTCAGGCAGCTTCCACCACAGGGCGCTCTGCCAAAGCCTCCTCCTCCTCCTCCTCCTCCTCCTCGTCCTCCTTCTCTTCCTCCTCCTCCTCCTCCTCCTCCTCCTCCTCCTCCTCCTCCTCCTCCTCCTCCTCCTCCGCCGCCCCCCGCGGGCCAGGACCGCCGATCCCGGCGACCCTGACCTGCGTCAGCAGCCCCCCCGCCGGACCGCGCCCGCGATCGCGACGGGCGGGCCGTGCCCTCCTCGCGGTGCCGGACTTCCAGACGGGGCCTCCCCCGGCCACCTCGGGTCTCCAGAACGCGAGCCTCACGTCTCCTTCCTTCTCCTCCTCCTCCTCTCCGTTCTCCGAGATCCTGGCATCGCTTTTCCTCCGCACCGGGCGCGCTCGTCTGCGAACCTTCAAGCCCTGCGGGTCCCATCCACGCTGGGGTGTATCGAACACCCCCGCCAGGGTGTTCACCTGGCTGCAGGCATCCTGCAAGGTCTGAGCCCCAGCCAGCTTTCCAGAAATCGGAGCTGCAGGGCAGGGTTCGCATGGGGTTGCATCTCTCTCTCGTCCGCAGGGTGCCCGAGGAGGAGGAGAAGAAGGAAGGGAAGAGAAGGAGGAGGAGGAGGAGGCAGAGTAGGAGGAGGAAGAGGAGGAGGAGGAGGAGGAGGAGGAGGAGGTCCGTAGCCATTTTGGCTCAAGCCATTTTGGCTCAAGTCCGGAGGCATTGCTCAAGAGGACTGAGTTTTTGTGGCAAGGGGAGTCACGGCCCCATCAACTTTCATTGGTCTCAAGGAGTCCGCTACCGTACTGAGGGTTCATTCCTCACGGCTGCGGCCTCTTGCTCACGTACGATTTCATCCATGCCAGGCTGGGGCTGTCGCTCTTGTCACGCGTGGAACAATGGCACCCGCGCCAAGTGCTACGGATGTGGAGCCTTCAATCCCAATGGAAGGCAACCGCAAGCGGCGACGCCACCACAGCCAAGGGGACAGTGGGGATACGGTCCGCCTCCCGCGCCGCCGAGCCCGCCGCATGGTGGACCTCCCCCGTGGATGGCACAGAAGCCGCGTCGCTTTCTCCGCTCTCCATGGGTCCAGCAAGGCAGTCAAGAAGGTTGGGCTCAGTCTAGGCAAGGGTGGGGTGACACACAACCACTTACCGACGAAGAAAAGGCACATTGGATCGGCATGGACGAGAGCACTTTCTTCTCATTGTCGGTCCGACTCTCTCAAAGTCAACGGGACAAGCTCATTCATGCGAGGAGGCTCAAGGCTGCAGGGCAAGGGATTCCTATCGGAGTTGAGGTTCCTAAGGGCGTTCAGTCACTTCAACACAAGCTTGTCGAATTGCAACGGAAAGAAGAACGACAGCTCGAGGCAGCTCGGCGGGCACTCCAGGCAGTGGGCGAAACTCAGACACAGCTCTTGGAGACCAAGGCCCAGCTCGAGACGGCCAAGGCTGAGGCAGCCAAGGCCTTGGTGGGCAGCCCATCGGCGCAGGCGCAGGCGGCCATCCAGGGCATGGACGAACAGCTCACTCAGTTCTTGGCGTCCTTCGCCGAAGGACTGGCAAATGCCGACGGGGTGGAGGCGAGGAAGAAGAAGCTCTAAGAGAGTGTGGGGCAGTTCAAATCCACGCTTGGAGCGGCTTTCTCGGCCATGGGCTCTCAGCCAGCCAGTGCGGCAACGGGAGCCCCTCCGATCGCTGGCGCCGCAGAGGGAGCAGGAACCCCTGCAGCAGCCACAGGAGGCACCGTCGCACCAGTTTCGCAGGCCCAGGCGCCTGTGGAAGCAGGCCAGCCGACCTCCCAAGACGTTGGCATGGCTGCTGTGTCTGCTCGGGCTGATGATCCAAGTCTCGACAGTCAGGAGCAGCAGCGTGAACGTTTCATCCAGGCTGGCATGGAGCGGCTCAGGAGGGCCGACTTTCGAAGTCGATCGCCGCCACCAGGGACAGTCGACAAGCGTCTTTGATGGACAATACGGCATACCAGGGGGCTGTACTGCGGCGACAGCGTTGAGGGCTACTCCATCTCCTATACCAACAGGCCTGGGATCCCTTCCAGAGTCGGAGAAGGTGGTGACCCCGTGGCGCGCGGCTCATAGCAGTCCCCACGGAGCGAGTCCCACTGGAGACCTCGGAGGTGAGCCCACACGTACGCGCTGGGCCACATTTCCATCGAGGGCGACTACTTCATCCCCTTGGGCTTCCACTGGCGCGTCTGAGAAGGTGGTGACCCCGTGGCGCGAGGCGCACAGCAGCCCCCACGGAGCGAGACCCACTGGAGACGACCGAGGAAAGCCCACAGGCTCGCGAACACCATCTCCCTCGTCGCAGAAGGGCGTGTCCCAGTCAGACTCGTTTGACTTCTATTTCGCGAACATCACTTCCTGGAATGACAAGACCTTCGATTATTTCAATAAACCTGGCGGTCCACTTGAGACGGCTAAAGTGGTACTCTTTGTCGAGACTCATCTTCGGAATGCCAAGCTTATTCAAACATCGAAGCACGTGGCGAAGCTTGGCTGGAAAACCAACGCTACTCCTGCGGTGGACACGGCAGGAGGAGGCCTTCAAGGACATGGAGGCATTGCAATTCTTACAAGGAAGCATCTTTGGCATGATCCGCTCATCTTGAAGGACCGCCTAAGCATCACAGAACAGACTGGGATCAATCAGATTAGTCAATGGTGCGCGACAACGGTCAGGATGCAGCGGGTGGACATCATTTTCGTCGCCGTTTATTTGGCCCCACATCTTGGGATTTCAGGATCTAACTTTCAGATTCTAGATGAGGTTGGCAACTATCTCAAAGTTCAAGGTAAGCCATACATTATTGTTGGAGATTGGAACAACACTATCGCCGAAATGCAACAATCAGGGCTTCAAGTTTTCCTCAGAGGAGGATGGAAAGGACCCCAGGAAGCAGTACCAGGTGGACACAGGCTCATTGATTTTTGCCTAGTAAGTCACCACCTACACAATCTGTTGGACCTCACATGGGACAGTGAAGGGCCATGGGGGGCACCGCATTCAGGTATTCGGCTCAAGCTCAGAGTTGGCGAGTTCACCATGCCCAAGCGTGTGCTCAGTCCTTGCCTTGCCATCGACATGAGTTTGCCTGGACCAGACTTACCTTGGGAATGGCACGCAGTCAGAGTTGAGCCGCAGATCCAAGAAGGCATGAACAAACTTCAGGCGAACATCCACTCCATGGGGGAAAGGCACTGCAGTGGCAAGCCTAACTACGATTTGGCCCAGCAGTACATGAAGTTCGCTTTGGCAGCAGAAAGCTTTTGCACGCACAGGAATCCCGATCTGGACTTCAACGACAGCGAGCAGCACCGAGGCTGGGCAGTGGAAGTTGTGGAAGTACCTGTGGTTCCTACTACGGCGTTGGGGTGGCAAGCGGAATATAGTGGCCTGAGTGCTTGGGCAGCGCTCTACGCTCGAGCAGCAGACTGGCTACACTTGCGGGAGAAGCTGAAGCACCCAGAGGATATCGAGAAGGCCTGGCAGGCAGTAGAGTCCTGTTTAGCCAAAGTCTGGTCTCTTACCAGATTTTTGTCCAACGAGAGAGAAGAAAGAACGCTTCGCCTGACCGCTCAGCTTGCCACTTTCAAGCAAATAGATCGATGCAAGAGAGAGCTCAAAAATCTTGGTCGCACGGTGAAAAATGTTGAGCTCTACCTTGTTAGATCCAAGCAGAAGAGTTTTAAAGACTGGGTTCGCACTTCTTTAAGCAAAGGCGCTGGCGCGCTCCATGCTTGGACAAAATCGTGGGGAGAGGAAATCCCCGACCTCGCCCCAGAGAAGCGCCCCGATGGTAGCACCATAAGGGACCCCATTGAGGCCATCGACCAGAAGGCTCAGTTTTGGGAGTCCCTGTGGTGCTCGGAGGCTTTTGAAGGTCCCGCTGGGTGGTGGGAGGACTTCGTTCGGGAGGCCAGTAGGGAGCCCCTGGATGAACTCACCATGCAGCAGCTTTTAGGAGCCCTGAAGTCTTTCAAAGGAGTCGTAGGAGTCGGGGCTGATCAGCAGAACCCGAATTGGTGGCGCCGTCTTCCGAAAGAAGGTCTGGAGGATCTTCTAGCACTTCTCCAATCAGTCGAGAGAGCAGGCACTTGGCCACCTCAGATCTTCCTCAACATAGTTCAACTAATCCACAAGAGTCAGGTGGCTGATCGGCCAATCACCCTGACTCAGGGCTTGTATCGGACGTGGGGGAGGTCTCGGAGGTGGGAGATTGCTGATTGGAGCGCCCAGCGGACCCAGCACTGGGACAATGTGGTCAAGGGCAGCTCCTCTCTGCGAGCGGCCCTCATCCGTCAATGTAAACTAGAAATGGCCACGTCCCAAGGTTTTGCCGGGGCTGAGGTCCTCTGGGACGTCGACAAGTTTTACGATCACGTTCGGCTTTTTCAGGTGGCCAATGTGGCCAAAGGGGTAGGCTATCCCCTCCCAGTGCTTGCGCTCGGCTTAGCCATCCACCGGGGACCGAGGAGGCTGCGTGCTGAAGGAGTGGTTTCAAAACTGATTTGTCCCGACCGTTCCCTGATTGCAGGATGCAATCAAAGTGTAGATCTCGCCAAGCTTTCACTGTGGCAGGTGCTCGAATCGATGCATGCAGACTATCGACCTCTGGATCTCTCCACGTGGGTGGACGACTTGGGACAAGTCGAAATTGGCCGAGAAGCCGACGTCATCACACGTACGAAGTCCATCTCAATTTCTTTAGCAGCACGTCTTGGTAGGGCTGGTTTTAAGGTGTCTAACAAGTCGGCGATCCTCACCTACCCCCCTCGCCTCGCGAAGGAGATCTCGAGGGCTCTTGCTGACGCTGGAGTGCCCCTCAAGTGCCCAACGCACGTTCGGGACCTGGGGATTGATGGCCACACGGCCAGGCGTTCCACTGCGGTCATCAAAGATCGCCTTGCCAAGGGACAAAAGCGTGCTGTCCAGATCACCAAGCTAGTCAAATCTGTGCCCCAAGCTCGAGTCCTCGCTAAGACGGGGTACCGTCCAGCAGTGACGTATGGGCAGATGGCCCAAGGCCTTAGTCCGACAACTCTTTTAAAGCTTCGAACTTCGGTGGCAGCCCTCTCTGGTTACAAGAAGCCAGGAGGATGCCCAACCACTTGCATAAGACTAGGGTTCACTGAAGCTGATGATCCAATGATCCATGGGCGGATGCAGATTTTCG